ACCATTATATGAAAGCTCACCCAGTATAATAAGCCCTTGGCAAATAGATGTCCTTTAAAGGACCAAATTGTTTAAAGGGCCCCCTTAGGTCTTCTGGCCTTCATAGAGCAAATCTAACAGTTAGTACTATACCATATAAAAGTTGTAGTAAATGGACAAACATAACACCTGATTTAACAAGAAAGAAAAAATAAAACCGCACAAAGGTTACATTACAACCATTAAAAATAGTAAAATTTAGTCATCAATTTCGAACAAGTTATAGGTCACTCATAAATGCAAAATGTCTAGATGCAGAGCAAATAAATCACACATAGTTTAGCCACTCTCATAGAAAATGATTTAAACCCTGTTAAGCCATTAGACCTTGTAGTTTTTGCTAGAATGCTTCATTCAATCCAAATGACAGTAATGAGAACGCTATAATGTCATGTTCAACAAAATCAATTTATTCAAAGAATATATTGTTTTACACATGATGTGATTATTTAAAATGGTTTAAATTGTTTTCATGACAAAATCACTAATGTGTTTCCACACATTTTCTTAGTGCAAGATTATTATCTACTTAAACGACATCTAAGATATATAAATATGAATTTAACCCACACAATGGCATTGGATACTTCTTGTACAGATATCAAATGACACTGTTCTATATCTGAAGAGACAAAAAGTGAAAAACCCTACTTGCTTTGTTGATGATTTAATGAAATTATATAAATTTGCCTAATCTCTAGCATCTTGAATTGTAGAGGCCACTCAATATCGAGTACACAAAAGTCATGATTTCAAGTTTCATGTTTCGATACCTATTTATGAAAATTGTGAACATATCAAATTGAAAAATGAGGCCTACATGAGAAATGACGTGTTAAACAAAAAACTTGAATAAATAAACTCCTCTAGATGTTCTAACTTTTCAAGTCATAGGATTGAAAATTGTAAGAAGTATATATAGGATTAGAAATGAGAATATGGCCCAACAAACCAATGGAGGGTAAAGAAGAAGACTAAAGTGTCATTTTTATATTGACCTAAAGATGCCCGTTCACAAGAGTGACGCGATTTTGGCAGAGCAATTTAGGCGAGGGAGATGTAGACCTAAATTAACTTGGCCTTGGTAGTTGTTAAGGATTTAGTCACTTATTCTCTCCCAATTGATCTAGCAACGAATGGAATGGAAGGGCAAAGACGGATAAGTTGTCGTAGGAAAAAGGCTTAGTTTATTGTAGTTGCACAAAAAAAAAAATTCATGGGACTGTATGCTAGCACTAGTAGGGATGGTATATAGCAAAATCCATTCAAGAACTAGATCTCTCCAACTGTGGGTAATGCACACCAAGGTATCACGACTGCCATAAATTGTAAGGCTACTTACCAAAGTTTTGATGTCTGGATATTCCAAGGAGATTTTTTACTCAGTACATTGGTGTTTCCCTAAAATAGTATCAAATTCATTCAGCAAGCCCGAGAACAAAGATTGATAATGAAGTGCTAACGGTGATTAGGGAAAGCAGATCGTGAGAAAAGTTAAAAAACTGAAATCATATCGACTTTTTAAACTTCCCCAAAGTGTAATCCCCATAGTCAAGAGTCTAAATCCAACACATAAGATGCATTGTTAAGATCTGAGAGTGATAATTATGTTTATCAAGAATTAAATAGGTGGCTAGTACTAGAACCAAATGAGAAAAAGGGAAAAAAAATAAAGCATCAAAATTAAGCTCAGTAGCAACCACCANCACCAGATTGCCTCGTAACACATAGTAAAAATGTAAAATACGTAATCAAATACACATAGCAAAATGCAAAAATCCATAATGAGATACACACATAAACAAACCTTAATTCTGTTACAGATGGGAGTCGGAGTCATGCGCTTTAGCTTCTAATTGGAAATGACAAATTGGGAAAAGTGTTCACTTTGACAGAGTCGGAGTCGTGCGCTTCAACTTCTAATTGGGAATGACGAATTGGGAAAAGGCTGCACTTTGTTGGAGTCGGAGTCGGAGAAGGAGAAGGAGACAAAGTCTTGCATAATGGCGTCCAAATTGGAAATGGTGAATTGGGAAAAGGGTTCACGTTACTGCCGGTTTATGCCATTGGGTTTGGAATTGGACCTTCCTATTGGGACTAATTTTTTTACACAATTATCAGCTCAAGATCCAGCCCAACCAGCTCGCCCAATCCTCCTTACTTTTTGCAACGTTTTTGTGATGTTGTAACAGGTCGACTTTTTGCAACGTTTATTAAAAGTTGAAAAATGTCATTTTTTGCAATGTTTAATAAACGTTGCAAAAAATTAAACGTTGCAAAAAGTCGACCTTTTGCAACGTTTATTAAACATTGCAAAAAATTAAACTTTTCGCAACATCCAAAAAACGTTGCGAAATGTGACATTAGCAAAATTCTCGTATCAAATGTTGCCAAAACTCAATTATATTAACCCAATAGCAACATTCACTTATTAAAATTTTGCGGTAGACCCTTTAGCAATATTTAACTACCGAATGTTGCCGTTTATGTGTTGCAAAATCTCATTTTTGGTGTAGTGTAAGATGTAACCCCAATTCTTAAAATGGTATCAGAGCCCATTAAACTCTAACGAGCAATTTGATCCGGTTAAGATCCCAAAAAGTGAGCATATGAATTTCAAGATTTGTTTGCTCACTAATTTTGGAATCTTTTGCTCCTTCTAACAAAAGGCAGAAACTATCCACAAGTTGAAGAACTACAAGGGGGTTCGACATTTCCATCCCTACTCTTTTGTACAATTTCTATTCAACAAAAACAATCTATTGCCAGCTATTTTCAATCAAATCAAAACAAATAAAGCAACAAATATGTCTTTTATATGAATTTCATGGACACGTGGAATCATACATTAGGGTGGATGTCAATTTGCTCATTCAATTTTTCATTTTTTTTTTTTTATCACATCAAATATAGCTTTTTCATTCATCATTAAAGTAGCCGCTTATGGAATCTTTGGTTCCAATAATTTAAAAAAAATGGCCCTTTTCTCCTATCTTTCCTTTTCCAATTTAATTTGGTGTTTCTTTTGTCTTCAATTTTACCTACTTTTAACATTGTTAATTAATTTTGAAGGGAGTACGTCACACACACTGAAATCGTGACAATGTTAAAAGACATGAATAGTCCCCTTCACACCTAGTAACAAAAGCTCAATTGTCAACTTCACCGAGTAAAAAAAGTTTTACTTTTTTCTTTATTCATATGGGCTCGTTAGAGCTTGCCGGAGACTCACAATGCATGCATTTTTTCAGTTGAATATCGAGTATGGTCTAATTAAGCGTACAAAACATGACAATAAGACGTGTTACAGACAACAAACTATGTATGATTTATTCTTTAATCTAATCATATCGCCATGCAGCATATTATTAGAATTTGAAACCATACCATAACCCGAGCAATTCTTCTTTATAGTAAAAAAGCAGTTTGTACTGGAGCATACATCAAACGGTCCATGTTAAAGTCGAAGACCTAATCGAGGTCTAGGTTGAAATTATCAAATAATGGCGGGCTTTGATCCAACGGGAGATTGGATGGGACATGCTGCTCATCCATTGAGGCGTTATGGTTGGACGTCCTTTCTTCGCTCCTTCATCCCGTAAATCCCCCATTCATGTAAATGAAAACATTCATGAAAAGCTACAATTGTATGAAATTTGATTACACGGTTATTGTTGTGTAAAATTAAACCATTTAATAAACGAGAATTTAAACTTTTTTTTAAATAATATCCAAAGTACAACTGAAATAATTAAAAAGAGAGTCGAATGATTGTCGGCTTCAATCTATCTTACCAAAGAAAAATAATAATAAAACCTAAATTTATTATGCTTACTGAAATTAAGTGAAAAAGAAAGAAACAACGTTATATATGGCAGAAATATGATACTTATTGCAATAAATATGTATTGATAAAATCACATAGGAATACACAATTCAGCTTAATCTTATCCTAATAATAATTACCACGCTAACAAAGTACTAATTTTACAAGGATACTACTTTTTTTTTCTAAAATTAAATTACGATAATAATCCCATATTAATATCAATAATTATAATTAAAATACCATATTTGTAAGAGCACCAACTTCTTTAAGTTTGGGCTCTAGATGACCACTCAAGTGAAGTGCCACGAGATTTTCCAGTCCACCAACGCTTGTGCCACCTATGTACAACGCCGGAGGCGCAGCGCCGCCACCTCCTATGGCGGAGATCTCTTCCTCATCCAATTCGATGACGGTCGGGTGAACCCCGACCTTGGAGAGCAGCCGTTTCATGACGTGGCACATGCAGCAAGACGAGCGGCTGAAGATGATCACAGGATTCTCGGATATCAGACGTTGGATGCGCATCTCAGGCGACTCAGCGACGTCTATGGACAACGGTGAACTGGTGGTTGGAGTCAATTCTAGCCTAACTCCGCCGTCAGCCAGCAGCCCATAAATGCGTGCCCCTTGCATCATCACCATTAACCACTAGCAGAAAAATGAATTATTGATATGTATGTCAACAGGGTGTAAAATTTTCTTGGAATAGAGGAGATCATGGGGCTCATATATAAATTCCAATAGGCGCGGAGTGAGGGGTGGGTGGGGTATGGGTTACATCACAACATTAAAAATTACAAATTGTGGTCCCCAGTTTCGTTACTCCAAATGCTAGAAATGAATAATGATGTATTCACATTGAGTAATGATATTCATCCTTATTGGAGTTACAAACACAGTTTAGGTGGCGTTAATGTGCCATTAAATGATATTTGAAATTAAATAAGTTTTTTAATTTCACCTATAATTTAGAACCATCTAAACTGTGTTTGTAATCCTATTGGGGATGAATAACGTTACTCGTTCACATTTCGTGTAGTATTTGCAATACCCTAATTGATTCTACGTAAACATAATATCAACAAAAAAAAATGATTTTTCTTTTCCAAAGGGACGCTTTCTGGTTAAAATGCAATACGAGGATAATTACTCCATTAAATTCGGAGAACCAATATATCATTAAGGTGGAAACAGTTCGAAAATAAGAAGAATATTAGTTTTTACATGTTTGTCAATTTAGTATTTTTGGCTTACCACAAATACTGAAAGAACTGACGATTTGTGCTTATTTATCGTACTATGATGAGCAAGCTTGCTCGTATTTATTGATTGCATAATGTATCACTTCTTTCTAAGCTTTTAATAACAGCCACCAAACACACCTCTAGTAGAATGGGCCAATCACATGGAGTGATGCTTTCTGTTAAGCGGTAATCCATGACGTCATATTGACCTCGATATGGAACACTTATGGGCCATCTAGTGGGCTATGGCTGACGTTTGAAACGAATTTCTCTATAGTGGGCCCCTAACCTTACATCATCATAAGGAAAAAATGCCACTCCAAGTAAGAATTGGGTTTTCTTACAGACACGTGGCGCTTGCTTTTGCTCTCCCTGGGACATGGAGATTTTATTACACTGAAAGAAAGCTTTTCGATAGCCAATGAGAAGACAACACGTGGAAGAGAGTTTAGTGTGTGTTTGTGCGTGTAAAAGACGTAAGAGGGTGGAGTGCGGTGCCCACTATCAAGATGCATGTTTGCAATACATGAAGGTGAACCGTTGATGGTGCTAAATATTGTGTCTGCCACATGTAAATACTTTATATTTTATTGCTGATTCTTTGTTCTCAATAAATGCCTAGAAAAATTTAAATGAATATAATTAAGCTCTTGTTTCATCCTTATTTTTAAAAAAAAAAAAAAATTCAATTTTCTCTCTCTTCTTTTCAACCACACATTTTTCAATAAAATAATATTATACGCAAACCCAAAAATTTTTCTTATTCTTTAAGCACATATTCTCCATCAATCTACTACTCCAAAATGCATTATACAGCACGAAGGGTTCAAACAGACCCTAAATTAATTGTCAAGTAATTATCTCTTGTCGAAAATTATAAACCTTGTTTTGAAGTGGAATAATCTTCTTGTTAAATTGGATTATCTAATGCTTCAAGTTTTACAAGTCCAAAAAGTTATTTGGGTTAATAGCATTTGTGAGTTTCTTTTTTGTCCTCCAAATGTCACGGGATCATGTTGTCAACAAATTCCACTTCTTTTTTGTTACTGTATACGTTATCTGCACATTTGAATACTACATGATCTTAACTCCAATGGGTGCTATGATCATGATACTCCAATGCTCAAGTGAGAGAGTGAAAGATAATTTGGTCTGGAAGAGACATAGTGGACGAAAAGTACGGGTGCCAGGTTGTAGAGATAATTTTACCATGATTGAGAAAGTAAGCTTGTATTGAAAATTTGCATGATCTTTAAAAGTCACTATGAGTATTTATATCAATAGTAGTGAATTGAGATCCATAAGATGCTCGACACATGACCTTGTCCTAAGGGCTCACTGGTCTAACTCAATTGTGTCAATCATTAGCTTTCATAGGCATATGGTCATCTGATCATAGGTTGAAAAGTAGCCACCTTAGGCCTGTGAAGGTCATAGGTGTACAAGTTAAAAAGTTAATTGAGCAACGATATTGCAGCGCTATCAAATTTGTTAGATGTAAGGCTTATCTTGGTCGAGACAAGGTCTTTGAAAGAGGTTCATTATAGAAGATGCCAATCGCCTCGAAAATGCACTACAATAAGAGGTGACGCCTCGTCACAGGCAACATGTTCCAGACAAGACGTCCAAAGATATGACCTCATCGCCTCAATGGGCACAAGTGGAAGAGGCAATGTCTAAGTGGAGTACACACCTTGTACGGTCTTTTGGTTAGCTTTGTTTAGTTAGCTACCACGTAGTTACATAACAATAGTTCCCAAATCCAAATATGAATATTTAAATAAGGTGTGGACTTTAAAAAAATTATAATCACCTCGCAGAGCAAGAACTAGTGAAGTAAGGAATAAGAATATGCATCTCATTAAACGAGGCTTCTCATAAAGTCAAGGATAAGGTTAATCATTTTATTGGACGAGACATCTCGCGAAACGAGGAATGATGTTTTTGAAACCCGAATGAATGATAGCATAGATGGGGAGGAGACAAAATAATGGGGTCATTATAGCAATAGATAAATGAAAGGTTAGGAATTTCAAATTTGAACCTAATTCTCATTAATGCAATAGATAAATTTTCAATTTTTTTTATCGATGAAGCAAAGCATGTCAAATTATCTTATCTACTACTATCCATTTTCTATTCGATACTGCCAAGCCAGCACACATTACGTGCCATTAGTTTTCAAAGTAATTTAAAGATGTCATGTCACTAGTTCCAACTAGGAAATGCCTTGCATTTCAAACACAGAATATATAACAAACAAAAATTAGAATTTATTATCCTCAAAAGCCAGGGCACATTCTTGTACAACACATTCACATTTAAGTCAACAAAATGAATCTAAAGAGTCCCAACAAAAGGAAAAATGAGAAAGAATTGAGAGAACAAAATATAATTCAGAAATATTCAGAGCTCCGTCTCTATTGATATTTTCTGCAGATGTACCTTTTTACATTGAGGGCATGTTTGGTCACAATATGGTATTAAAAAGGGCTAGACAGTACAACAAACAAAAATTTTGCTTCTTTTTATTCAATTCTACCTCGCGTTGTCGAATCCTCCAACCAAACATGCACTAACAGAACAACATTCTAAAGCATGATGTATAAAAACTTAAAGAGAGTTGAATGACTTGTATATTTTCCTAAATCATTTCAGGCTTTCTCTTTTGAGAGAGGCGAAATCAAATGATGCAATGTACTAGTTTGGATAACAGCACTAGGATTGGTGTCTCTTGTGCGAGTTGATACCGATTGCCTGATGCCAAAATTCCTCTCCGTCCCACTTCGTGCAAAATGTTGCCATGGCTTTGGGAGAGCTCGCACCAGCCGAGTTGAAGCTACCAGTAGGACTACACCGACAAGAATAAATACCCTGTGTTTAAAGATCTCGAGATGAACAAGTTTCTAATGTATTTAAAGCCTTCAATTTAGTCTAGATTAGAATTTCTATCAAGGGGTCAGATTTAAATTGCTAATAGTTTAAAGAGGAATAAAAGAGAGAAGCAAATGGATATCATATACCATCCCAGCAGCAGCGATAGACAAGCCACTGGCGCTGAAGGCAATCCTTCGCCCAATGCAAACATACCAGCAAGTACACCAGTCACGATTGATGCAACAGCAGCACATGTAGACACAACAATTGCCCTTCCGTGTTTTAAACCGCATGTCTATTTGGAAAAACGAGAGCAATTATTATCACAAATACATATTTGAGGAATAACTGTGCAACTCAAAGGCACTGATAAGAAGCCTAAAGCAATAGCTCCTTCTTAAGAAGCAAAAAGATATCTGAATATGGTTTGTTTGAATGAAAATTTAGCAAAATAAACTGGGAACAAAAAACTGATTTGAGAGGGAAAAACAGCACCGGCATTTAACTTACCTGGTAAACAAAACCGGAACCACTGCAGGATATGCTGATTAGTAAACAAATGGGTAGCAGTAACTTAGAAAACCCCTGCTCCAAGAATAGAAATCCCGTCTTTGATATCACAGACGCAACCCTGAAATTACAGTCCAGAATTCCTCTCAGAAAAGTGTATCCCAAACCTAACGAAATACGGAACATTTAAACCAGGAAAAATGCATGAAGTCAAGACAGAAATGTAAAAAAGAAAAACATTCCTCTGGTTCCTTCTGCCAGGGGAAATATGAGAAAAAATAAGATCATGCTTTATATAAGTGATTTACCTAAATTACATGAACAGGATAAAAAGAAAATCAAGACAAATGACTACATAAATGTTCTTTGCGAACTAACAAAATGAAAAAAGAGCCTAGTTTCAGGAAATAAAAGCCTAATTTCGACCCCACCTAGCAATTGGTGTTAAATATGACATGAATGCTGCAGTTTTCAACCCAATAGCAACTTCATTACCAAATTTCTCTAGCTAGTCAATTTGCAAGACATTCCAATTGGTTGTTAATGAAAAGCAAATATAATACTGAGTGTAGTTTCTTCAAGATATCTACAAACCCCACCCCATCCTCTTTTTTCCAGGGTTAACTCTGCCTAAAAGAAATAATTTCCAATTATCTATAAGAATTGTAATTTTTATTTTTTTTGGACAAATAGAGTTTAATGTGGAGAGGTTTTTACTCCACATAAATGTGTTGCACTCCAATCTGGTACTCCCTCCAAAAATCAAATATTTGTTCAAGAATAGAAATTGTGTCCCAGTCCATCTAAGATTGATTTTACTGTCATAAGCATTGACACTCCAATACAAACAAATTGACTGTAGTTAACAAAACCCCCAGGTAAATCCATTTCAGCATTCCCCATTAACATAAAAAAAATTTGAATCACTATGTTGTCCCCAGCTCGAGAATAGAAGAGTATGGAGCAAAACCCTTGGATACAGGTTGAATAAATGAAGAGAAAGCCAGTGCTCATCAGTTGATACATTGTGAACATTCTCAAGCTGTTGTTGGCATTTTCTCGGTAGGTACTGAACTTTCATGTTTTTTCCCTACGCAAGAAAGCATTACTCACACAAATGTTCTAGAAACCTATCCTATAGAGTGACCGCCGATCTCCTAACTTTGGTTAATTCAACACGTGTATGATGAACAAATATGAGCTGTCAAGATATCCAGCATCTCATCATTGCCTGATATCCACTCCAAAAGTGCATCACTAACGAGTTTCTTAAACATCTCGAGCACACGAGCACGTAAATCATTTTCTTATCATGACTTACGAGTACATTGACATTTTCTAAGCCTTTTTTTAGCAGGTCTTAAAAATCTTTTGAGTATTGGAAGCTGAAATAATAGATATTAAAAATAATAAAAAATCACTTGTGGAGTGAAGTCACATTAACCCCCACCCCAATGTCATGCCTTGAATGATGACTAACCTCCATATATTTGAGTTGACATTTGAACCCCAAAGTTTAATAAAATCAAACAAATTACACTACACGGTTAAAGTGTTGGCCGTGTGGTGTAATTTGTTTGATTTTATTTTTCTATGGCCACATTTTGTTTGGTATAGTTAAGCTGATTTAATCACTGTTAAAATCAAGTAGATGTTTTATGAGTACAATAGGTGAGATGTTTACACTCATAAAGTTCAAGAATAATAGTTCTAATTGTCTTTTCATGATCAATAATCACAAATAATTATATAATTAGATAAAATTATCCAAAACAATAGGGTAAGTCTTGCACTTTCTCCACTTTAAGGAACAAAAGTACCCTTCATCTAACCAACCCCCTCCACATCCTTGTTTAAATAGGTTTGAAATTCAAATAGATTTTGAAACATTAAAATGAAAATCAAACCAGAATTTCAGATCTTACACTATGAAACTCTAATTACACATTTCACATGTCAGCTCCCCCTTGTCCTCTAGATCTACCGAATTCAATGTTTGAAGTGAGAGAAAAGTAAAGATGGACGGAATCTTGTATACGTCGGCAACTAGGAAATTTGTATCTTGTTTAAAGTTTGAGAGAAGATTGATAGAACCTGCTCCAACAACTTACGGTATTAGCCCTAATTCAATAACGAGAAATAGAAGACACGTATACTTTGAAAGGAAGAACTGAAGTGTATTTCATCAAAGAGCAATTACAACATTACTCACACAAATGTTCTAGAAACCTATCCTATAGAGTGACCGCCGATCTCCTAACTTTGGTTAATTCAACACGTGTATGATGAACAAATATGAGCTGTCAAGATATCCAGCATCTCATCATTGCCAGACATCCACTCCAAAAGTGCATCACTAACGAGTTTCTTAAACATCTCGAGCACACGAGCACGTAAATCATCTTCTTATCATGACTTACAAGTACATTGACATTTTCTAAGCCTTTTTTCCAATTTAGCAGGTCTTAAAAATCTTTTGAGTATTGGAAGCTGAAATAATAGATATTAAAAATAATAAAAAAAATCACTTGTGGAGTGAAGTCACATTAACCCCCACCCCAATGTCATGCCTTGAATGATGACTAACCTCCCTATATTTGAGTTGACATTTGAACCCCAAAGTTTAATAAAATCAAACAAATTACACTACACGGTTAAAGTGTTGGCCGTGTGGTGTAATTTGTTTGATTTTATTTTTCTAAGGCCCCATGTTGTTTGGTATAGTTAAGCTGATTTAATCACTGTTAAAATCAAGTAGATGTTTTATGAGTACAATAGGTGAGAAGTTTACACTCACAAAGTTCAAGAATAATAGTTTTAATTGTCTTTTCATGATCAATAATCACAAATAATTAGATAATTAGATAAAATTATCCAAAACAATAGGGTAAGTCTTGCACTTTCTCCACTTTAAGGAACAAAAGTACCCTTGATCTAACCAACCCCCTCCACATCCTTGTTTAAATAGGTTTGAAATTCAAATAGATTTTGAAACATTAAAATGAAAATCAAACCAGAATTTCAGATCTTCCACTATGAAACTCTGATTACACATTTCACATGTCAGCTCCCCCTTGTCCTCTAGATCTACCGAATTCAATGTTTGAAGTGAGAGAAAAGTAAACATGGACGGAATTTTGTATACGTCGGCAACTAGGAAATTTGTATCTTGTTTAAAGTTTGAGAGAAGATCAGGGAAATTAACATCATTTTCAAAACCAGGGTAAATTGGCATTAAGGCAAAACACAGCTGGAAGCGAGGTATTTAATGTCTCTGTCCCTAATTCATCCAACAAATAACTTCTTCATGTGACCATAATTAGCAAACCAAAAGGTTAACTGAGCAAAAGGAAAACCACAAAAACATAAAAAGTTTCTTTTAATTAATTCAAGACAAAAATGTACCCAAACAAAATGCCAGATTCCAAGCCATATATAATTTCCTCAACAACTTCATACTGCACCTAAATGGGGAAAATGCAAAAAGTCAAAATAAAATTGGAAAGATGCATGTCAGTCCAATCGACAATATACTTAGCAAGGAACATTAAGACTTACCAAGTCCTGCTCTCTTCGCCGGCGTCTATAGATACGAAGCCATCCATTTAGCAGTACCTGTAATCAACAAAGTATTATAAAGTGAGTCACTATTACATAATCAAAAAATAACAGCATTCTTGTTTTTTTCCTTTTCTTTTAAGTAAGAAGAAAAAGTAAAAGCATTTGCATTAGTATCAATACATTAGAAATAAATGCCAGAGACCAATAATTAGAAATACGGTCAAAATGATAACTAATTGCAACAAAAAGGGACAACCAGTCAACCCCAACCACCAATCCCCACCCCCCAAAAACACGTGACTTTTAGCCCCTACTTGGTGAGGATTAAAATCAGTTTTTTTAGTAGATTTTGATAAAAGTTGATGAAACGTGTGGCCGAAAAATTGTGGATCCTATAAAATAAAATATGTGGTTAAAATTAATTGTTGACTTAGATTACAATATCTACGAAATAGGGGCTTAGAATATAACTAAATAATGTCATGGTCACTTGCATGCTCCCATTTGAAATCACATAGAGTTTAAGATGGGTATTTTGTGCAAATTCCCATTGTCACCACAAAATGATGGCCAAGTATTCTTGTATCACATCATTACAAAAAGGAAATAGAAGCATCCAACTGTGGACGATGGGAGTAGCACAATGTAATTGAACTTCTCAAAATAGCGATTTATGTTCTCTCTCTCTCGCAAAGAAGAGGAAAAGAAAACAAAAGGGAGAAGAAAGAAAGAAAACAAATTCAAAAATGGTTCCCATCAGTCATTACAAACTGTCACCACCTCCATCATCCACCTATGAAATGAGTCACCATCTCCACCAGCCGCCTCTCCTCCACAATATGGTGGTTGTGGATCTAGAGTGGGAGATAAAAGTTAAAGGCCGGTAGTGGAAGACATTATGGGTGGAAGGGCTAGAGTGGCTCAGGTGAGAAGAAAGGGCAGCAAAATTGTGGTGATAGTGGGAGGCAGGGGGTAAATTTCTCTGGTGGTGACATGCAAATGTGTTGAGGGGAGAAAAATGATAGTGGTAGGAAATGTTCAAACTTTTGAAAATGGCTATGGTAGAAGTTACTTATTATTATTTCAAATGCTTGATAAAACACCACAATCCCCACCCCACCCCCAACCCTCAAGCTTGTTTACTCTCCATATTACTGATAGTATCCATCCTGATTATTAATCTGAGTTAAGTCCAATCACAGGAAGGAAGGTACAAGACTAGTGCGAATCACACATCACTCTGAGAACTATATGAATATATTTCCATTTTACCTGCAACCTTTCAATTTAACAAGTTACACTATTTAATTAATCACGTCTCTACATAATTTCTATACAAAAATATTTAACCAGTCAAATCGATGAAAGACTTGAGCAATCTGTAAAAATTACCCGGAAAATACCACATAAAAGAGCACAAAGAAGGATATGAAATAAGATCAAGGAATATTACAAAAGATGATTTTATGAAATCACACACACACACAAAATTTGACAGTTAAAACCGCAAAATCATTAAGCATTAGTGTCCGAGGGTGTATCTAGCACCATTTACAGATATGTATGCATAATAGGGTATCTGTTATATCAAGGCATTTATAACATTTCAAATAATTATGAAATGTTCCTACTATCAGATGGTGAATGGGATAAGATACCTACAAACAAGAATGCAACAATAACCGCCAGCCACGGTAAATGAAAAATTGAGATAGAAGAAGAGTTTTGCTCCTCCCCTCCAGCACCAACACCTGTTGCATATAAAGATATATAATACTTAGAAACTGGAGGAGTACCAATTGGCAAAAGTTATCTAAACAAGGAATCTTAAACTATCCAAATTCCTATAATTATACAACAAAATATAAAAATTAATTATATTAAAATCATAGCCTGATAATTTAAAAGACAATTTTTAACTTTAAAATTTTTAACCAAAGATAAAATCCTAGCACCTTTATTTTCACATTTCAAAGGGTCACGTTACCTATAGTGCCAATGCCAGCCAAAGAAATTCCAATCCAGTCAATAGTATTCATGGTCTCCTTCAAATAAAAATGGGAAAATACTGAAAGGATGGCAAGTCCACAGCCAGAAACAGGTTGAATGACGGATACCTAGAATTAATCATCGACATTATGGGAGATGTGTAAGCAATAGTTCATTTTATTACCTTTAAGAAGAAATAAATTGCTGAACAGTAGAAAATTAAGTAAGCACGCTCAAGTTTGTATAAAAGGAAATTGATTATAAAACATTACAGGAGCTTGAGATAGTGCTCGCAGCATCAAGACAGCTCCAAAAATGTCCATCAGAAAGCCTATAATCCAAGCTTTATTGGAAGCATATGCTCTTATGACCTACAAAAACAGATCATTTCACATCACACCCAAAATAAATTGAGAAATAGAAGAATAAATGTTAAGAAAGTCCAAAAGGGAGAAAAACAACGATTAAGTGTTCAATTTGAGCAACAAACACCCAACATTTTAGGTTGCTTAATTCCAGAAACCGTGCCATAACTAGAATAATTAAATTTACTTGGATTTTATATGTCATAATTGGGATAATGTTGAGCAACTAGAAGTGCCCTTGTCGACTATGACCAAGTTGAATGCCAAGACAGGTCAAAATCTTCATTGTTTTTCCATTGACAAGGACAAAATAATGTTTATATTATATGGTTAAGGAAAAAGTTCATATGAATTGCTTTTTTATATATTTTTCTTTTGTCAAGAGTTAAACACGAGCAAGTGAAAGTAAATCAATCATTTTCTCCTTCCAATCTGAGGGGGCCCTCCTGTAGATGTTGTTATAGCAAAAAAGAAGTTTTATACTGTCAGCCCCAAATTTATTGAGAAAGACATCAGGGGAACAATCAAAGTCACATTTAGTCACTCCGACACTAAGATTTCACATTACAACAAAAAAAGGCTGTCCTGTCTCATATCCATATTGGGATTAGCCATTTCGAAAATGATTTGACCAACTAAATTCAGAGTCAGCTGAATCTTTGAACCTTGTGAGACAGGAATATGTCATTTCAAACTCCATTTAATCAATATAACACCCATCAGGCATAACGGAAAAACAGAAAATGATAACAAGCCATTTGAAATAAAATATCACATTGAAGGCCACTTATTGATGGACTCAAAGTAAGTGGGCATTTCTTAGTGATCGCCTTTTAATTGTGTCCTTTCAAACTCATTTCATTCATAAAAACATGAGTTTTCACAACAGACAGATTTAGCTGAATAAATCCAATACTTCATAAATTAGGTTATCCAATATGCAAAACAATAAACAAAAAAGCATAGAAATGAAAGAGGAATTGACAACAAAGAATATTTCTTCAAGGGACGCAACAGTAAAGATCAATTAAAAACAGGAATTGATCATTGAATGAATTCAAGATTCATATAAAACAAAAACCCAGAAATCCAAATACACATATACATACGTTATAAATGTGTATATACCTTGAGCTTGAAAGAAAGAGGAGGGAGAATGACGGTGCCTTTTTTCTGCAGGACTTTGACGATGTTGTTGCCGGCGGTGGCAGCTATCGTCAAGAAGCTTGCTTCCCTCATCTCTCTCTCTCTCTCTCTNGATTCCCACATCTCTCTCTCTCTCTCTCTCTGTGTTACGATTTAGCGATCTTCGTATATAGCCATCGGGGTTACAGAAATCTATGTCTAGCCACCGTTTGGTAACCATTATTCTAGAAAAAAATGTATTCTTTGTGTCAAATCACACTTTTTTTGTGGTTGAAAATGAAGGAAAGGTCATTGATGTGATGGAAAATATTATTTTATTGATGAATGTGTGGTTGAAAATTAGTAGAAGAATGAGAATGAAAAAAAGAATGAATACCAAACAGAGGCCTAATTTCGACAACAATCAACATCTCTCACGTTCGCTTTTTCGCTGTTTCATCTAGTCCCTCAAGTTTCATTGTATGTTATCTAGGCCTTATCAAAAAAATTTGTGCAGTGAATTTAGGAGGTTTCTTTCTTTTCACCTCGCTAATATCCTAGTTTGAAATCAAATCGAACCGTAAAAATTTATTTAGTTTAGTTCGATTTTAAAAACAAATTAGCATGAACTTTTTTTGGAACTATTCAATTTAAAGTATAAAAAGGTATTCAAGACTGAATCATATTCACCTCTGATATATAGATTAATGGTGTAAAAATCATTTTGTGTGCAAAAGCAAAACTATGCTGCCCAAGGCAGCTCAACAGATAAAAATTCAGCCGAAGCACAAGTTTGCCTAACAAAGTCTAGGCCAAGCACGAATCCGCTCGACAGATAAAAGTCTGGTCCCGACTCCAAACACAAGACAACTCGAATGGGGTCTTACATCATATAATCACCACAAATTATCAGCATTTCTATCATACAACTATCGATGATAAAATTCGTCAGCAAAATTGTTCTTGAAGATGTGACACTGGCATTGCCCATTCAAGGGGACACGGAGAGCAGTGTTAGCGAAACACAGTCAAAGACGCCTTACAAAATCACATTTCATCTGTCAGTTCAAATGATGTTGAAATTAAAGTCGTAAATAAGTTTATTCCATGTAATAATATAAAACACTTGAAAACCAAAATCAAGAATCAGAGTACAACCTTGATACAAGAGCATGTTAATACCCAAGAGAAAAATGATTACATACAACCAACAAGCATAATTTCATTAACATAGCATATGCATACAGAGTTAAAAATCCAATTTTAAAGACCTTATAAGGTCGAACAACATCCACATCTGCAGTTAATTTGGACAGATTACATTACAAAACAACCAAAATTTTGCAACAGCAAATTGAAACCATAACAAAATTGGGAAATGAAAAGTCCCCTCTGCAAATCAGGGGGCATGCATCTCCCAATTACAAGTCAATTTACACATTTAACTAACCTAAGAAATAAGATAATAAAATACTTAAACAAGAAACATTTTGACCTTCCCAGAACAAAAACTGAATTACAGGAGATCAGCAACGTTGGCTGGCAGCTCCTCAATTACCACATTATAGAATTTTTGTATGTCAAAAAGCATGCGGTCGTCATCTTTGGTAACAAAATTGATAGCAACACCCTTCCTCCCGAATCGCCCACTACGTCCAATACGGAGAAGGAAGTTCTCGGTCTGAGTCGGCAGATCATAGTTGATAACAAGAGAGACTTGCTGAGCCCCCTCATTGGAGGGAGTGCCGACCCCACCGACCTTCTCTCCAATGATGTAACGCCGGGTGTCCATTATGGACACCCCAATGTTAATGGTGATGGACCACTAGCATTTCTCATTCAAGACTGAATCATATTCACCTCTGATATATAGATTAATGGTGTCAAAATCATTTGGTGTGCAAAACTATGCTGCCCAAGGCAGCTCGACAGATAAAAATTCAGCCGAAGCACAAGTTTGCCTAACAAAGTCTAGGCCAAGCATGAATCCGCTCGACGGATAAAAGTCTGGTCCCGACTCCAAACACAAGACAACTCGAATGGGATCTTACATCATATAATCACTACAAATTATCAGCATTTCTATCATACAACTATCTATGATAAAATTCGGCAGTAAAATTGTTCTTGAAGATGTGACACTGGCATTGCCCATTCAAGGCGACACGGAGAGCAGTGTTAGCGAAACACGGTCAAAGATACCTTACAAAATTACATTTCATCTGTCAGTTCAAATGATGTTGAAATTGAAGTCGTAAATAAGTTTATTCCATGTAATAATATAAAACAATTGAAAACCAAAATCAAGAATCAGAGTACAACCTTGATACAAGAGCATGTTAACACCCAAGAGAAAAATGATTACATACAACCAACAAGCATAATTTCATTAACATAGCATATGCATACAGAGTTAAAAATCCAACTTTAAAGACCTTAATAAGGTCGAACAACAACCAAATCTGCAGTTATTTTGGACAAATTACATTACAAAAACAACCAAAATTTTGCAACAGCAAATTGAAACCATAACAAAATTGGGAAATGAAAAGTCCCCTCTGCAACTCGGGGGGCATGCATCTCCCAATTACAAGTCAATTTACACATTTAACTAGCCTAAGAAATAAGATAATAAAATACTTAAACAAGAAACATTTTGAACTTCCCAGAACAAAAACTGAATTACAGGAGATCAGCAACATTGGCTGGCAGCTCCTCAATTACCACATTATAGAATTTTTGTATGTCAAAAAGCATGCGGTCGTCATCTTTGGTAACAAAATTGATAGCAACACCCTTCCTCCCAAATCGCCCACTACGTCCAATACGGTGAAGGTAGTTCTCGGGCTGAGTCGGCAGATCATAGTTGATAACAAGAGAGACTTGCTGAACATCTATGCCACGGGCCAAGAGGTCAGTGGTAATGAGCACACGTGAAGAACCAGATCGGAATTCCCTCATGATGATATCTCTTGTATTCTGGTCCATGTCTCCATGTGTAGCAGACACAGTATGATCACGACTTCGCATTTTGTCAGTGAGCCAATCAACCTTACGTCTGGTGTTAACAAAGATGACACTCTGGGTGATGGCCAAAGTCTCATAAAGATCACATAGAGTTTCAAGCTTCCATTCTTCCTTTTCAACATTAACGTAGAATTGCTTGATACCCTCGAGGGTTAGCTCGTCACGTTTCACGAGAATACGGACAGGCTTATTCATAAACTTCCTTGTGATTTCAAGAGCCTCAGGTGGCATTGTTGCAGAGAATACACCAACTTGAATTTTAGGTGGCAAAAGCTGGAAGATATCATATATCTGAAAAGAACAAACTTCAGTGTTTGAAACAAAATATTCTGAACAATGAAAGGCAAAAACCACATTTCAGTCTAACAACTGGTAATATCATTCTAAGTACTACGACCAAAGAAAAATAGCATAAACCAACAAGAAACAGAAGAATGTTAAAATAATTAAGTCAAAGCAGTGATCAATAATGGCAATAGTCATTGCATTTTGGAAGAATAATAGTCATATAGAGAATTACTGAAAAATAATGATACCGAGAGGCACAATACAGCAGATCAAAATTTCATTGTCTGAAAAGTAAAACTACAGAACAAAATAGAACTTGTAAAAATAAATGGAAGCTGAGACGAATATAAATATTGTGACTATATACAGCAAAAACCTCAGTTAGACAACAAACTAAGTAAAGGAATCAGAAAGCAAAAGGCAAAGAGCTAAAAAAATAGACCTGATCTTTGAATCCTCTTGAAAGCATTTCATCTGCTTCATCCAACACAAATATCTTAATGTAGTCTGGGCGAAGTGACTGCCTCCGCAACATATCAAAGACACGACCTGGGGTACCAACCACAACATGAACTCCACTGGAAAGAATACGCTGGTCTTCACGAACACTGGTACCTCCAACACAAGCATGAACCTTAACACCAAGATAGTCACCTAGTGCTCGCATAACCTTCTCAATTTGTTGCGCAAGCTCACGAGTGGGTGCAAGAACCAAAGCCTGGCATTCAACCGTTCCATAATCCAGCTGTTGAAGAATACCAGAGCAGAATGTTGCTGTTTTCCCAGTACCAGATTGTGCCTGTTGAATTACATCGAGTCCCTTGCAAAAGGGAACAATCCCCCGCTGCTGAATAGCAGAGGGCTTCTCAAAACCTTGAAAGAATAAAGAAAAAATCACTAAGCCATATAGATTTCCAGACAGAACAGAAGAAAAAGTAGAACTATCAAGAATCTTATACTGACAAACAATATAGGACTAATGAAAAGCACAATCAAGATGTAGCACATGAAAACAGATTACATTTTCGTACATACAGCAATAGACTATACAAGCTGAATGGAGACAATTAACAAAGATGGCAATCTCACAGTTTCAAACTTGGCTTCACTAAGGAAAAAAAGATCAAGGACAACAACCATCATACTAAGCCTATGGTTGAAGTTCATTTATAGAGAAGTGATTTTATTTTATTTTATTTTGTAGAATGTGTGGTTGAAAATGAGTGGGAAAAAAGTGATTTTGAAAAAATCAGTTTAAAGAAAAACAAAGTTGATGTAGAAATGAAATGAAGTCAAGGAATGATTACTTGCAGTCGAGAATGGGTTTATCTTACTTTTTGGAAAAAAGCAAGAGAAAAGACAGTGAGAATAGAGCAGATTTTGCATGTTATTTACCATAAGCGTAGATGCCCCTCAAAAGATTTTCTTGCAAGCCCATTGCATCAAAACTATCATACACCTCATCATAACTTGCAAAGAATTCATCGCCATCAGCTCCAAGCCTGTACTCATTATAAATCAAATAAGAGTCCTATACCACTATCATAATGAACAATAGCATAACTAAAATCTGACATCAAGAATCCCAAGGTTAAATTAAAAAAACAGTTAGGTTGAAACACACTCTTCAAGCATAAATCCAGTAACTTGGATTATAAGATTTGTAACACAAAACTTACAACTCATTCATTTTGGAATCATATTGACGAGCATCAAATTGAGAACCTTCAGATGCCATTCCAGCCCTGACTGCAGAAAGAGAATAAGGATACACCTCATCACAGGCAATCAACCATACA